AATTTCTGTAAACACTGGTAAAGGATTCACTGCATAATATAACTATGCCAATAAATTTCTACTTTGAAGTCAAGAGGTAAAGAAGATAATAAATATATTATATGCATTTTCACTACAATAGACTAGTAACAGAGTAAATCTATTTTTGTTACCATATTCACTCATTGGCGATAAGCAGTCTTTCTCCACGTCTTAAAAATACTTTGTCTAAAACACTATCAATTCATGCATCTGACTCCAACAAATAAGCTTTATCAGGAAATTCAATAAGCTCCTCTGGTCGAATTTGCTGTTCGCGCCACATGTCAGAATTTCAAACTCATAATTTCGATCCCGATGCAAATTTGACGGGAAAAAAAAATATATTATAGTATTCCTTTGCCCCTCCAATTATAGACAATTTCTGCAATAACCTAGAATATGTTCTACGTCTAAACAGGATATAAATATTCATGCCTCAAGTCCGTCTTGCTATATGAGGGTCGTCACTAAGTTTCTGGGATGGGGTGCGGGGAGTATCTGAGCTAGACTTTTTTTTTAATGTGTACCATTTTGATGGATTCTGGTGCATTTTTAGTCATTTTTTTTTTTACATTTTTAAATTAATGAAATCAAGCAGCATACCTTTAAACAGAAAGTTAATTAGTCTGTTTAGTCTCAAAAAATCGATTTTTTTTTTCTAAAAGGATCAGATTGTTAACGGGTTTCTTTTAAGAAACTTAACTAATTCGCTAGTATTATTTCTTTAAACGTTTACCTTAATTAATGTTTGTTTATCTGGAGGCTCCCGTAAAGCATTTTCCATATAAAATTGTATATAACTTATTCTGCAGTGTTAAGTTGCCCGGTATTGTTTGTTACTGCTTTGTGAATTCAGTACTGAATAATAGTCAAAGACCAAGCTCACGTGATTTAAGTACTATTCATTATCTACTGTGGTCATTAGAGTGTAAAATAGTAAAATAAAGAGTACACAAACAAATATTTTGTTTTATAGTGAATTTCAACTGAAATTCAAGTTTACTTTCGTATTATTATGGTTAATTTTTCGGCATTTACATGGTAGTAGTATACGTAAACTAATCTTCCAGGTATTTTTATAAATCACTTTAAAATACACCAAAAAATTAAAAAAAAAATTAGTTATTAAATTTATAGCCAAACAATGACCTTAGACCCCCAAGAAAACAAGGACACGTAGTAAATTGATATGGAAAATCACAGATATGAAGGAAAACGACTTGTCCTATAATTATCCCGAAAAAAAAAACAACACATGCGCGGATCCAGAAAGGGGTCCAGAACCCCATGAGATTTTTGGAGTTATATCTGAAGAAAATTTACTTGGAAAGTGGCTTCTCCTACACTCCCATCTCCACCCCCAATTTAGTTGTTTTAGGTTTGGGCACGTTGTCGTTGTTTATGTTTTTATATTTCCATATTTTCCAAAGAAAATTCCGGTATATTGTTGTTATCCTGTTCCGTTCGTCCGCCCGTCTGTCACACTCTCCCCTTCCTCAAACTACTCCTACATTTTAAGCAGTAACCAACTCATCCTTTGGAATGATTGGTGTTGAACTTTACAGGTGGAAAAAGATTGGGAAATTTTCATGTTCACCCTTGGAAACATATTCAAATTTTGGAATATTATTTCAAATGTCCTCTGGATGTGCAATAAGGTTTTGGAATTTTCATTTTCACCCGGGAATGGGGTGGGTTGCGGATCAAAATACGACTTTTTCCCCCGAACTCCTCTTAGATTTTTCGCAGTAGCCCATTCATTTTTTGGAATATGTGGTGTCTGTGGATGTGCACTAAGGTTTCGAAATTTTCATTTTGACACAGGGGGGGGGGGGATTGAAATTTTTCGTAGTAGCCCATTCATATTTTGAAATAAGTATTGATGACAAGTATGAAGCGAGGTAAAATTAACAAATTTTAGGAACATCTATCATCAGAGATTCCACCCCACCCTCGATTGTTCAAGTATATACAACCATTACTTTCTCTTGACATAAAAATTGATCATATAGAGCAGGACAAAATGATTTTCATTTCTAATTCTAGAAGGATGGGTTCTCCCCGTGGAGTAATCAATGTAGCGTCATGTATTTTGATACATTTTTGAAGCAGGTCATATTGTGATCATTTCAAGTTTCGTGGGGGGGGGGGGGGGGCTCCATGGGTTATGACCTACATACCATTTAATTAAGGGGGATCGACCCTCTGATAAAAAAGATAACTTTCCAAGTAAAAAAATACTAATATTACTCATAGTTTACTTTATCAGAGTTTAATTATCGAGACCTTTGAGTTGTCAATTCGAGTAAATTTAACAAAATATCATAACATTATATTATAATGATGGAAACATTCTTTGCCTATATTTTTTTTCAAATTCTCGTATATTTGATAAAAACATTTAAATCCAGTTTTGAAACCCCTATAAATTGAATAATCTTTTTGAGGAACATTTTTAAAATGTTTTAATGTATCAAGTACCAAAATGTAGAATTTTTATTAGTATTACATTTTTATTTTTCAGTGGAAAAATATTCAAAAAATATAAATCTTGCTAAAAGATGTATTGTTTTCTTACAGCCACATATAACATTGTAATATTCTGCTGTAGGATGCAGCGCTTTATAATGTTTTCTAATATGAATTTAGTAGGTATGACACTAAATTTTATTTTCATATATCTTACATATTTTTAATTTTATTTTGTGATGAAATATATGGAAATTACGAACAGTATTCAAAAGTCCATTAAACAAATCAAAATAGGAGCAGAGCAAACACGGACCTCCAAAACATCAGAGGTGGGATCAGGTGCCATGGAGGAGTGGGAATCCCCTGCCGACCGGTCACACCCGCCGTGTGCTCCTTGTCGTGATCGGGAAATAACGGAAAAATCCGTCGACAATTCAGTGTGTAAATAATGGCCTAACAATAAGTATGAAAAACGTCAGTCAGCATTTGACTCAATGATAAATTATATTTGCTGACAAGGTTATTGTATGGACCATAGAACTTACGAAATTACTTTAATGAGACTGCTGAAATTCTTGTTTCATCAACCTGTTTGTCAATAATTTACCTCGTTTTAGAAATTGTACAGACGTAGAGGATGTTCTTGCGTATCGAATCAACTGAGAGATATAAACCCCGTATGCAGGTGATGAAGGTGTATTGCTGCATAAGTAAGGGAAGTTGACTATTGAAAACTTAAAGTCATCACGTTTATCATAAAGCTTGGTTGTTAGATTACATTAACGTCTTTTTCTAGTAATATATCCAAATATGGAACAGATGTGTCAGACTCTGTGGTATCTTTTATCTCAAGCTCACCGGGATATATCGTATCGACAAAAGAATGGAAATATCCATTGTTAATTGACAATACGTCGTCGATATATCTAAATGTCGAGTTGAAGGCCACAGCAAGTGTTTTCTTCTTTTCACGTAAAAGATTTTGGACAAATTCTGCTTCATATGAATACAAAAAAGGTATGCTAATAACGGGGCGCAATTGGTACCCATGGATATTCCAATAGATTGTTGGAAGACCTGGTCTCCAAAAACCACATAGATATTGTCAATCAGAAACTCAAGCATCTTTTTAATGTCAACTTCGAGTACTTGTGTGTACAATCAGAATGTTTTTTAACAAAATAATTTTGCAAATGACCAATGACAAGTAAGTCAATTTACGAGTTCCATTTTTATTGAAAAAGCAGCTGTCAATGATATCAAAAAGCCTGGACTTAATTTATCGTGGGGAATGGTTGTGGATAAAGTTGAAAAGTCGTAAGTTTTTAACTATTGATTTTGGTAAATTCTTGTGATTTAAAATTTTCCAAAAGTTCCTTGGAATTTTTAAGTATCCACATCTGATTTACACCATTTCTCGAATATATTGTTGCAGAGTACTCTTGAAGTCTCTCCTTCACTACTGTTAATATCTTAGTGAGGAGTAAAGAAAGAGGGTTGGTTGAACATTTACTGGAACCCGCTATGTATCTTTGTTTGTAAGGATTTTTATGAAGTTTCGGAATCCAGTATAGATATGGTAAAATTCATTTTGGTTGTTTGGAATATTAAAAATATTCAATACTGACATATGATTTTGAAGAATTTCTTCCTTAGAAAGGGAACTATGAGTATAAGTTGGATTATCACTTGTAGAATTAAATCCAAGTTCCTCTAAAATACATTTAATATAATGAGTCTTACAAACAAAGACTGCTTTGTCAGCAGGGACCAGTACGTACTGATCCTGTAATCTATCTAATTCTTTTTTGGTGTTTTTGAACATGTAAAAAATAATGAAGCTAGCGCGCTTCATGAAATATGCCTACGTGACATGTCTGTGTGATTTACACACCAATAACCCACACAAAACTTAAAAACATTCCTTTAAATGAATAATTCAAACATTGAATATATTTGTTGGTGTTTTTGAACATGTAAAATGTATATATAAGGAGTGTTTTTCAGTTTTGTGTGAATTATTGGTGTGTAAATCACACAGACTAGCACGTGGGCATATTTTTCATGAAGGGCTAGCGCGCTTCATGAAATATGCCTACGTGACAAGTCTGTGTGGTTTACACACCAATAATTCACACAAAACTTAAAAACATTCCTTATATTTACATTTTATATGTTTAAATGCACCAAAAATATACTCAATGTTTGAATTTCTCACTGCCCTATACCGTCCTAATTTTTATTAACGTCTTTGTAGCCTCATTGTGACGTCACTTTATCGCGAATTTCTCCGTGTATATTTCTACGCCTGAGTATACACAAAAATGGCTTTCAGTTGGCTTAATAGAAAAACACAGCAAATATAAATATTATTGAATGCCGTAATCTTTATAATATGATAGTTATAAAGTACGAAGTTTGAATTATGACGTCATAAGGCTTTTGTCGTGACGTCATAATCAAATGCACTCAGGAAAGTAACTTTGAAAACGTCACAATCACAAACAATGGACGCATATGAAGCAAAAATTATAAAGCTAGAAGATAAAACAACATTAAATACAAAAGGGGAATTGTGGAAGCCCAACAAAAATTCCCAAGCATCTCTGGAACATGAAGGATACGAATTTAAAGGCACAATAACGAGCAGCCAATTCTCGAAAATTAAAACCGCCCATTTTAAAAAAGAAAACATCGATGTTGCTGTGAAAATTATCAAGAAATACAAGCTCCCAAAGGATGTTTTGGAAAAGTTTATTCCTAGAGAAATAGCCATTCTTCAACGGGTTCAACATCATGGCATCGTAAGTAGATACATGTAATTAAAAAAAAAGAAAATTAATTAAGAATCTTTAACATGTATTTATGTCAGTGTATTGCTTTGCTTAAAAGTCTGCGAAACGACAGGTTGCTCTACATTCATATTCTATGAAAGCTACATACATGTTGAATTAAGGGGAGTTTTTGGTAGCCATAACAATCTTTAAAACAGTGAAACTAAGCCACTGGCACAGCATAAAAAGGCTACATTGTAGATACAAGTAAAATTCCCCAAATATGTACGAACTTAGTTGAAAGAATATTGCTAATATTCTTTTTGATGAAATATGGAGATAACGAACGGTATTCAAGCTCAAAGCCCATTAAAACAATACAAATCGGGAGCAGAGCAAATACGAATCTCCAAAAACATCAGAGGTGGGATCAGGTGCCATGGAGGAGTGAGCATCCCCTGCCGACCGGTCACACCCGCTGTATGCTCCTTGTCATGATCGGGAAATAATAGAAAATTCCGTCGACAATTCGGTGTGTAAATAATGGCCTAACAATTAGTATGAAAAACGTTAATCAGCATATGACTTAAAGATAAATTATATTTGCTGACAAGGTCATTGTATGGACCATAGAACTTACGGAATGTCGGGAATGATGACTTTTAAATGACTGTTGATATTCTTGTTTCATCAACTTGTTTGTCAATAACTTACCTGTTATAGAAATCGTTATGAATACGTAGAGCATGCTCTTGCGTATCGAATCAACTGATAGATATACACCATGTGATAAGGGTATAATGCTTCTATACTCCTTTCATAGGTCGATCTTTTAGCGGTTTACGAGTCTCCATGCTGTTTCTACCTTGTAATGGAACTACTCCCCAGGGGCGATCTCCTGGAATTTGTCAGTAACGTTGGGTACCTCACGGAGCCGGACGCCAGAAGGTTCTTCCATCAGCTTCTTGACATTGTTGCTTACCTCCACAAGGAGAACATTTGTCACCGAGATATCAAACTGGAAAATCTAATGTTAGACTGCTGCTTTAATCTCAAACTAACTGGTATGACGTTCACCGATTGATCAAAATTATGTGATAACTTTGTTAAGATTTGCATTCCAAAATCTATCAGTACTTAACCTTAACTTGAAATCGGATCGTAGAAACAAATAAAACAAAAAACAAAAACAAAACCCCAAAAAAGGCAAAAATAAAAAAAAACACATAGTATTTAAAATTAAAGTAATTAAAATACATATTCATTTCGATATATAATGTAACCAATTTCACCATAACGTTTGTTTTAATAATTGTCATTTACAGATATACTAGTAGAAAAAAGACTTTCTGCAACTGATTTTTCTAGCTTTCAATTGATTTGGTAGTCAAAAGTATAAATATAATTTATTTTTTCAAAATCCTTTTTCACAGATTTCGGCATTGCGCGGTACATAAATAATTCTGAAAAGCTTAGCACAACCTGTGGTTCTTACGTATACACAGCGCCAGAAGTAATGAATGGAGAAGAGTACAATGGCGCACAGGCAGACATTTGGAGCATGGGTTAGTTATAAAAATATTGCTTCTCTTTACTCAGGTATTCAAATTGCATGTGCAATCTTGATGGCCATGGTGCCCCAATCTATTAGAACTTTCCAAAACTTTCGTATTTGGTTTTAGTATTTCTGGATGGACGTCCGCAAGGTCTATGGGAGAAGGGGGGGGGGCAAAAACTCACAAGTGAAATCAAATTTTGAAGTTCTTATCATTGAAAGATGTGAAATTATGACAAAGCTTTTCTGTGGTAAATTTTTCGGCAAAAATCATTCTATGATTTTTTTTAAAAAATGTAATATTGTTGGGGTTGGAACCCAGGCAATAAGAATCCTGTATATCTATTTTTCCTTCGCGACTAACACCTTAAGCACTACGTTATACCGTTCACAACAAACATTGGCGTGTTAATCATGCTTGTGATATGACCCTTGACTAAATGGACTTCAAATATTTCTCGAAAGATACTAATATTGTGTCATAGAAGTAAATTTTTAAAGATATAGTAGGTCTTTGCTCCATGTTTTTTGCATTTACCTCCACCTAGTACATTCAAAATTTACAACATGATAGATGAATGTATACTTTTTACGCATACTTTGAATATATTCTTTCAAAAAAAAAATGGAGCGAAGACCCATTTAAACGGAAAATTTGTGTTTTAGTAGGAAGACTTGATCATTTTTGCTCTCTTTGGTGTACGTTTGCTTTTTCAAAGACGAATAATTTCAATCTGTGAGAGTGTTGCGATTTGTGGAGATTTTACATAAAGTATAAGTACATTAATGTGAAATAAAATATGAAAGAAAATTTTGTCATAATATTGAGATTTCATATTTGTTGCACAATAGGCATCTTGCTCGCCTTGTTCGCCAGTCTTCTTTAACCCATGAGTATCTCTCCTCCTCATTTTGAATACTCTTGCTAAGACGCTCATATGAAAATACTAAACGCTCTCAACAGACGCACAAAAAAACCCCGTAATAAATGTTCATGTAAAAAAAGAAAATTTGAAACAGGGTATTGTGGAATCTCATTTATAATGTACAACCTCGTTATCTCGACTGAACTCGATCGGACCGAGAAAAACTTCGAGATATCCGAAGTTTCAAGGGTAAAATACTTAAAGAATCAGTGTTTGGGACTTTCAACTCATATTCATAGTATTCGAGATATACATGTTCAAGATACCGAAGCTCAACTATATTTACTTTTCCAGGTGTCTGTCTGTATGCCATGCTGTGTGGCAAGCTGCCATTCAGAGATGATGATGTCGACATTTTGCGACAGTCAATGAGAGAAAGGCTCCACTTCCATAGACACGTTTCAAAAGGTGTGATGCTGAATAGTGAACACATCGTTTCATTAATAAAACTGGGATTGGGTGAAAAGTACTTCATTAAACAAAGAAATTTAATTTGACTCTCTGTTATTTCAGCTTGTAGGTATTTACTGCGTAAGATGTTGAGTTACGAACCAGAGAACAGACCGCCCATACAAGATATCAGGAGAACCGACTGGATGTGTAAACCAATAAAAAATGTGGGGGAGTCGTCTGTTTCTTCCTTGTCTGTTGCAGCAGGTAAAGATTTAAGCAAAATTTTAATCCTAAAAATCCTTGAATATATACACGTCTGTTCACTATTCTCAGAAATACATGTATCTTTCCTGTTTTTGCAACATTTTAGTGACGTCCGATTTGCATCCAAACGTCACGATAGATCCAAATGCTGAACATGGCTTTTCTTGTAATCAGAAGGACAAGAGATTTAAGTCAACCAAAGTCTCCGATATCTTACACTGTGTTACAGAAAACCATAGGTATATTATAATCAATCCATTCCACTTGGATATTTATCGTTTTCTTTAATCCAAATGAAGCATTTACCGGTTAGATCCTATAATTATTCCATTACAAGATAAACTCCTATTCTAAAGAATTTGCTACGTTTTACTTTAGTACTGGTACCAGTAAAGTAGATTTAAAGGCCATTCCCGCACTCAAACCTGCTTCTGTGGCAGCCATTACAGGTGTGGCTGGTCCTATTGGGAGAAAGATCAGTCAACAGATGGGACTAAACATTGGTATAGAGCTTTGTCATGAGAACTTCACGGTGATAAAAAAAAGTGCAAATTTAATCTGATTTGTAAATTAGCTGCGCGGTTCTTCTAAAAAAAAACAAGAGGCCCATGGGCCACATCGCTCACCTGAGTAACTTTGGCCATGCTGTTCATTACCAGACTCCCCCCTTGTAATACCTATTGTGGCCCCACCCTCCCCCCAGGGGCCATGATTTGAACAATTTAGAATCTA